GGACACTCACTTCCGCCTCGTAGATGAGCAGCACCACGTGGGTGAGAGTGTACAGGGTCATGTACACGGACAACTTCACGGAGCCCGAGTGGCTGATGCGGCCTCTGGCAAGCAGCCCGTGAGGGGAGACAGCAGGGTGGATGCTGTCAGGGAGGAGGGAGCACCACACACCCCACCTCTGCCTCCCTGCCCTGCTCCCCAGCCCAGCCACCCATTGAGCGATCCCTGCCCGGGCACCGTGTCACCGTGAATCCCTTCCCCAGAAGGATGAGTGTGAGCAGGAAGATGAGGAAGCTGGAGGAGAAGAGCAGCTTGGCTGGGAAGGGAAGGGAAGATGGCTCAGGCATAGGCTCAGAGAGGGCGCAGACCTCTGTCCTCCCTCGGCTCCAGTCTATTCTCACCCAAGACCTTCAGGCTCCCATTGCCAACACCATCTGTGGCGTACTGGCCCCAGTAGATGCAGAAGAACAGGAGGCTTAGGACTGGGAGAGATGAGAGACCGAGAAAAGAAAAGACAAAAAGCAGCTCTGGGATCTCACCATCCTCGAGCACAATGATCCAATGTCAGACCCTCTGCCCGCCCCATCGGAAGTCCAGAATCTGTGTTACTGAGCCCTGCTAGGAAACTGCGGAGGCCTTGGCCCCAGCCTCTCCTCCCTCAAACCCATCAGGCCAGACGACAGCATCACTTTCCTCAGACCCAAGAGTGCAGATGGACCTCCTCCTCCCTCAGACCCAGGAGTCCATGCCCTCCTCCCCAGGCTGTCTTCTCAGAGAACCCAAAATCTGGAATACTTCCAAACCTCACCCTCCACTCCTGCTGCAGCCATGAACATTTTATAAGTTGTATGGAGTAACTGTCGGCCTTTCAGCAAATCTAAGAAGGAAACGGGAAAAGCTGTACACAAGTGGGGGAGGGGTATTTCCCTATAAATTCTCTCCTGCTTCTATTTTTCTTTTTTCTTTTCTTTCTTTCTTTTTTTTTGAGACAAGGTTTCTCTGTGTAGCCCTAGCCATCCTGGAACTTGCTTTGTAACCCAGGCTGGCCACGAACTCACCGAGATCCGCCTGCCTCTGCCTCCCGAGTACTGGGATTAAAAGCGTGCACCACCACCGCCCAGCTTCTCCCACTTCTCTTAACCCTTCCACCACATACATTGTACTCACATCCAAAGTAACAAGAGAGGATGAAGATGAGGGTGAAGATGAGGAGAAAGGTCACATCCGTCTCCAGGATCCCTAGGAGTCAATGGGAAGGGTAGGAGAAGGCTTTCTGAGCGGGCATCTCTACCCACGCCTGGCTTCCATTCTGGCCTGTTCCTCCAATATCTGCTCACCAAATTCATCAGCTGAGAAGTGCCGTGTCCAGAAGGACTTGCCATTGGTAAGGACCATCTCATACTCCAGCTGCAGCCCATCTCCCTGTGGGGAGTGGAGAGGCCTAAGAAGGGCTCCGGGCAGGTAGGGGAGGTCAATAGGAAGGGAAAGAGGAGAAAAAGCCAGGTGCTGCCCCAACTCCTTACCCCACACTTGCTGAGTGCAATGTACCACCATCTTTCACGCACAGAGCGGAAGCTGCGACCACTGGAGCAGCTCATGTAGCGAGTTCCCTCCTCTGACACCACCTGGGGAGGAGGCAGGAGGCTGAAGCCTTGTCCTTGGTGCCACCAGCCCCCACCGGTAGCCCCTGTGTGCCCCTCGAACCTGACAGCCTGACCAGGCATACTGAGTGGTGAGGTTGATGACCTGGTTGTTCTCCGGCCTGATCACAGACTCCTTGGCCAAGCAGTCCTAGGGCAGGGCAGGGACATGGTCACCCTCTGAGTGGCTGTGGCTTTCTGCCCCTCCACACAGGCCCCACACACTCCTCACAGCCCTCACCTTGTCCCTTGCCTTGTACACAGCTGGCCACTGGGAGGGGTCGTCGAAATAAAGGAGGATGTTCTGACAGCACCTGGCCTGGAGACCCAGAGATTTGGTGGTTTGGGGGTGTTTACGGGAAACTGGACAGCTTTTGCCTTGGAGGGCCAAGGTAGTGTCTAGCCTCAGGAGTGTGGCTAGGGAGACTCACCTCCGGGTATCGGAATCGGAAGTCCAGTCGGCCATAATCGGAGAGGAAACAAAATCTTGTCAGGAACACCCAGTCCTGGCAAAATGACCCAGTGAGATCTGAGTTCTTCAAGAACTCAGCTCGACCCCACCCAGAGACCCTCAACTCTCCTTCTCTACCCAGGGCTATTTGGCTTCCCAAATACCACAAGGTGGCTAAGTCACCTCCAGAATTCTTTCTAGATCCATTTGCTGTGTGTCCGAATTCCTGCCTCCCTGGTTTTCCTTCTCAGATGTCCCTCAAGTTTCCTTCCCTCCTCCTCCCCATCTTCCAGACACACTGAAAAAGACCACAGATAGCCAGGTCCACATTCCTGCCGCCATATGTCCTGGACTCTTTCTCAGCGGCATTCCCCCAGTTTCTCTCTGTCTCTGTGTCTCTGCCTCTCTCTCTGTCTCTCTCTCTGTCTCTCTCTGTCTCTCTCTGTCTCTCTCTGTCTCTGTCTCTCTCTCTCTCTCTGTCTCTGTCTCTCTCTCTCTGTCTCTCTGTCTCTCTGTCTCTCTCTCTCTGTCTCTCTCTCTCTGTCTCTCTCTGTCTCTGTCTCTCTCTCTCTCTCTCTCTCTCTCTCTCTCTCTCTCTCTCTCTCTCTCTCTCTCTCTCTCTCTCTCTCTCTCTCTCTCTCTCTCTCTCTCTCTTTCTCTCAGGTGGTCCCACAGACCATGTCATCCTGAGGAATCTTCTGAACCTTCCCTGCTGGTCCTGAGCAGGCCAAGCGACCTCCACTTGGTGGAGTGAGGGGTGCTGTCCCTTCAGCACCACAGCACCACCACGGTGCAGCTATGCTCCCAGTAACTCCGACTCCCAACCGACCCTTCCCCACCCAGCCTGACCTCGACAACCACAATGCAACCCCCAGCCCGCAGCCTCCGCCCTAACCCAGTCCCCCACCACCCAGGCCCCGGCCCGGGAGGGGCGCAGGGGGCGGGGCGGTATCCTCCCCTCTTGGGTCCCCCGGCCGGGAACGCTAGGGGATGGCCCGATGCGCTCACCTCCTTGGAGCTGAGGTTGCCCCGCACGTACTTGGCCCGGGCGCGGGGGGACAGTGGCAGCAGCAGGAGCAGCAGCGGCGGCAGCAAGCGGCGCAGCGCGGGCGCGCGCGAGGACTCCATTCCTCCCGCTCTGGCCTCGGCTCGGCTTCGGCTCCCGCTCCTGCTCCGGCCCGGTGACGAGAGCGCGCGGGCTGGCCAACGCGCGCCCCCGATTAAAGGGGCCGCCGGACTCAGCGGTCTCCGCGCCCACCTCCGGGACGAACCCAAACTGTCTTCTACCTTTCCCACCCGAGAAAGAACACCGTTTCCCATTCTCTTGTCACCTCGCCCCAGCTCTGGTTCTCTTCTATAGGAGTCTCCAAGATACCTCAAGATGTGTGTGTCCTAAACTGAACTCACATCCCCACAAGCAGGGCATCCTCCGGACTGCAGACTTCAGGATGCCCACAACCCAGAAAAGTGAACTCTGCCCTGACCACTCCCACCCAATTTAGATCCCAAATTATTCTATTATTACCCATTCCCTAGAGTCCACAAACCCTGTCAAGTGCCCATAGACACATAGAGAGTGAGACATTGTTCTGGGTCACACACATGGTAAAGCACTCTAACAAAACCACCATGGTTGCCTGCCCAACCCCTACGGTGTGAACCCCAGCTGCCCCGAGACAGCAGTGTGAGATATCTAGGAGCTAGCATACCAGCTGCCAGGGTGAAAATCTTGGCTTTGCCATTTCCCCACCAGAAAACCTAGGCCAAGACCCCAGTGTAGCTTCCTCCTCCCTCCCAAGCTGCTATTAATCCTATCATTTTCCATGGGGGCAACTGAGAGCCCTGGGAAGGCCTTCCAGCGTCAGAGTCCAACTTGATTTTTCTTCTCAGACTCCAACATTCCTAGTTTCATCCTTCACCCTCCACTGCAGAAAATTCACTGCTGCTCAAAATGCCATTTAAAAAGCTTTCTGGCCGGGTGGTGGTGGTGCACACCTTTAACCCCTGGACTTGGGAGGCAGAGACAGGCAGTTCTCTGTGAGTTCAAGGCCAGACTTGTCTATGCATTGAACTCCAGGCCAGCCAGGGCCACATAGTGAGAATCTGTTTAAAAACAAAGAGCCACAAACAAAAAGCTTTCTGGCTGTGGATGTAGCTCAGTGGTAGTGTGCTTGCCTAGCATGTGCATGGTCCTAAATTACATTCCCAAAGTGGCAAATAAATACCATTCCTGGAGTGAGATACGGTACAAGCAATTAATCCCAGCACTTGAGAAACGGAGGTAGAGTGCCCCAAATTCTAAGCCAGTCTGGTCTACATACCAAGTTTCAGGTCAGCCAGGGCTACCAGAGGGAGACTATTTCAAAACACACACACACACACACACACACACACGGGGGCGGGGGGGGGGGGCAGGAAATGCATGGGAAAACTTTGTGTGAGGTCTTTACCATGTGACTTGGGATAATTATTAATTTACTGTGTGTACTAGAGGGGAGAGTTGTTTTGCTTTGTTGGGGTTCATTGGATTCATAGTCCAGGCTGGCTCAAACAAAGGATAACTGTGAACTCTTAGCCCTCTTGTCTCCACCATCCCAAGCACTGAGAGGCTTGCTGGTCCCTCAGGCTCCAGCAAGGTAACAAGTCATATACTTCTCCATCTTGGCCTTAGAATTCAGACCTAAAGAAAGCTGCTTTCACTCCAGAGGCAGAGACAGAGGGATCTCTGAGTTGAGGCCAGCCTGGTCTACAGAGTGAGTTCCAGGACAGCCGGGGTTACATAGAGAAACCCTGTCTCAGAAAACAAAAACAACCCCCCCCCAAAAAAATAAAATAAAACAAAACAAAAAAATAAAATAAAATAAACAAAACTAAAAAGCTGCTTTCCTGAGACAGCCACTCACTGAAAATCAAGAGGACCAAGACGGTGTTTTATTGAGGTGACTCGGAGTGTGGGATGCCTGCCCCCAGCCCTACCCATAGTCTCCTCAGTATAGTTTCATTGGGGGGAAGGACCAAGACTCTGGACTTCTCTGAGTCACCACCCAGGAGAGGCTGAGCAGTGGGGCAGGAGGGTCGGGGCTCCAGTCCAAGTCCTTATTGCTACATGTTCGGGGCAACAAGGGTGATGGTGGCTGAGGTAGGGGTTGAGGTGGGCAGACATCCCGGGGCTGGGGCTGGGGTGGTGTGGCTATGAGCCAGATGCTTTTCAGCATATCAAAAGCTGTTGGGGGACCACATGCTACCCCAGATGGTGAAGATACTGAGGGCAAGATTGGCAGCTGGTGATCTACAGGTGGCACCAGGCTGACCTTGTGTGAAGGGTTGCTGCTGCAAGTATGAGGCACGGCAAAGTTAATCCCCTTTGTCCCCTGTTGAGTCCTTTGCCTCTCTTCCCTTGGAGCATGCTCAGAAACATCCATACCAGAAGGTGTCTTCCTCCGTCTCTCAGGCACCCTAGGCTTCGTCTCTGGCACAGAAGAAAGAAGCATGGAGATCAGTTGAACCACAGCAGAGAAGTGAAAGGGAAGGATGGGGATAGGAAGTGGACTCACCAAGCAACAAGGGTGACTGGCAACCTCGGAGCACCAGGGCAAGATCAGGCACACAGCCATGGCAGCCCTGTAAGGTTCTGAGGATGGCATCTCTGGACTCCTGCACTAGGTCCCTCGTGGGAAAGGCTTGTGGCAGAATCAGTTGGCACTGCAGCTCCTCCAGCAGTCGTCCCAACACAGGGAGCTCTGGGGAACTTGGTGGGTTTGAGTCTACACCTCCCGGTACCTGGTTCTCCTTGCCTCTTGACTCTAAGGCTGGTTCTTGGACTCTGCTTGGGCTGCAGGAGGACTTTGTGGGTAGTGGGGGGGTACATGGTTCCAAGGAGCCACTGTTAAGCAGCCGGGCCACATCCAGGGATTTCACTTCATGGTTGAAGAGACCCCGGTGCTCCCGGCTCAATCTGCCTTGAGTTATGACAACAAGCTTGGGGGCTGCAGACGCCACAGGATCCTGGAGGATTACAGATGGATCCCGACTGGACACGAGAGGATCCTGACGGGCCAATGGACGATAGCCACTCACCAGGGCCTTGTTTCGCTCCCTCCTAGTTTTGCGACGCCGGATACGACCAGATTTCTCAAGCTGCTGGAAAGGCTGAGAGACTGGTCCCCGAGGGTCCATGATGGCCTAGAAGGCATGGTGGTCATCAGATGCAGATAAATCAGGGACAGTAGCTAAGTGGGAAAAGATGGTCAGGGCAAAGAAAGAATACTATTTAAAGAGATGAGAAAAAGAAGTGACAGAGAGCCACTGGAAAAGGCCGGGCCACAGGAGTAAAAAATGAGGTCCAGGTAGTGATAGTTAATAGGAAAAGAGATCAGGAAATGGGGACAAAATAACAGGGAATAAGAACATGGAAAAAACAGTTAAAAGATGATGGCCAGCTGGGCGGTGGTGGCGCACGCCTTTAATCCCAGCACTCGGGAGGCAGAGCCAGGCGGATCTCTGTGAGTTCGAGGTCAGCCTGGGCTACCAAGTGAGTTCCAGGAGAGGCGCAAAGCTACACAGAGAAACCCTGTCTCGAAAAACCAAAAAAAAAAAAAAAAAAAAGATGATGGCCAGGCCTGGTTGTGCAAGCCTCTAATCTCATCTGTACAAGAAGGGTGAAGCAGAAGAATCAGAAGTTTAAGGCCTACCTGGACTACAGAGTGAATTCAAAACCAACCTAAGTAACAGGCCCTGTCTAAAAATAAAAAATTTTAAAAAGCCTGTGTTTTAGGGGATTAAAGAGCTGGCTCAGCAGTTAAGAGCATTCAATGCTTTTTCAAAGGACCAAGCTCAGTTCCCAGCACCCATCTCAGATGAGCCCTACAGCCTAACTCTAGCTCCAGGGCATCTGATGTCTTCTTCCGGCTATTGTAGGCATCTGCAATCACATTCCCCATACTCCCACATAGACACACACACACACACAAATTTAAAATAAATTTTACAAGAAAAAAAGTCTGAGCTTGCACACATGAAACCCTGAGCACTGAAAAAATAAAAGCTGGGATACAATTCAGTAATAGAGCACCTGCTTAACAACTGCATGAACCTAGGTTCCTATACTCAGTGGCCAGTACCACCTGTGTGTGTGTGTGTGTGTGTATATAATATTAAATGTTAAAAATAAGCCGGGCGGTGGTGGCGCACGCCTTTAATCCCAGCACTCGGGAGGCAGAGCCAGGCGGATCTCTGTGAGTTCGAGGCCAGCCTGGGCTACCAAGTGAGTTCCAGGAAAAGGCACAAAGCTACACAGAGAAACCCTGTCTGGAAAAACCAAAAAAAAAAAAAAAAAAATGTTAAAAATAAATAAGCCGGGTGGTGTTTGCACAAGCCTTTCACCCCAGCACTTGGGAAGCAGAGGCAAGCAGATCTCTGTGAGTTCGAGGCCAGCCTGGTCTACAGAGCAAGTTCCAGGACAGCCAGGGCTTCACAGAGAAACCTAGTCTCGAAAAACAAGCCAACAAACGAAAGAACAAAATGAGTGAGTGAATGAATGCATGAATGATGGACCAAGTAGGATGCTACCTGATATATTCATCCCCCTTGCAACATGTGTTTGAAGCCAGCTAAGACTACACAGCCAGATAGTGTCTCAAAAAGAACACCACAAACCAATGGAAGTTGGGAACAACAAGATCATGAGCAACTGAGGAACTTGACGGACTAGAATGAGATTTGGGACAGAGAGGATGTCCACGGTTCGGCAAGGTACACAAGACACAGGAAGTGGAAACAGTAAGGGAGGGCAGGAAAGAGGAGCTCGCAATGGTGGTGAAAGTGGAGGCAGGACAACCAGGCGCTCAAGGTCATCCTCAACTTCCTACGACTGCGGCCAGCCTGGGCTACATGAGACCTCGTCTCAAAAAGATGAAAGACGTAAGGCAGGAGGTGAGGGCACCCAGAGAAGTCGAAGGGCCTGCTTCGGGCGGGACATAATTCACAAGAGCTTTCAAAGTGGGGGGTCTACTCCTGAGGGGATGCCTAAGGCAGGGGGGCAACTCAAACAGTTGAGGAGGGCCCAGGAGGCTGAACGACGAGGCGGGGACGGCTGGTGGGGACAGGGCGGGGGAGGGGCGCCTCACCCTCTTCTCTCCTAACGAACCCCACCCTGGACTCCTCGTGGCCGTGGAGAGCAATGGCTTCTTTCCTGTAGAGACCCAGGCCTCGAAGGGGCTCGCGCTCTTCCGGCCCTGGAGCGCGGGTTAAACCAGCAAGCACGCCACACGCATGCGCGCCCCTGGCCACGCCCCCCGCCTCAGATTTCCCAAGAGAAGCACGAGGCACCAAGAGTGACAGTTATAGCCCCGCCCAACCTTGCCTCTGGTCCCCCTCCTCTTGGCTAAGGATTGCCTCCGAGGCCTCTAGGCCCGCCCCCTTACTCGATGCTGATTGGCTTAGCTACTGGCGGACTGCGTAACCGGTCCAAAAGGAAGGCGCTTAGGCCCGGTGCTCACCGATGCTCTATGGAGACACGCTCCAACCCGCGCATTCAAGCTGTGCGACTTCAGAAAACTTCGTGACTGCTTTGAGCCTGTTTCCTTTTTGTTTGTTGTTTGTTTTTTCCGAGACAGGGTTTCTCTGGCTGTCCTGGAACTCGCACTCTAGAAGAGGCCGGCCTGGAACTCAGAGATCTGCCTGCCTCTGCCTCTTCCCGAGTGCTGGGACGAAAGGCGTGCGCCACCACCTCCCACCTGTTTGCTAATCTGTAAAATCGGTTGGTAGTAGGACTTCCCCCACGCGGTTTGTAAAAAGGTTGGCTGAACCACCAGCACGTTTGTGAATGAATGCTTGGTAGTTTTGATTCCCCACTTGCTCCAATTTATCTGTTGACCAACACGTGTCCCCTCAGGCGTTTTTTAGTTTTTAGGGTTGTTTTGTTTAGCTGGCTCATTTGCCCAGGCTGGCCTCTTGTCTCTCAGCTGACTAGTTTTTAGCTTTTGAGGTAGTGTCCTTACGTATGTAGCTCAGGATAGCCTGGAACTCTATTCCCCTGCCTTACTTCTTAGGCGCTGGGATTACAGGGTGCGCCACCACGGGTGGCCCTCAGACTTCCAAGTCAAACTAAATGCCAGCGTATATCCCTGTCAAAATGTTAATAATCTATGACTTTTCTTTCTGCTCCTCTAGTCTTTAGTGGCTCTCAAACCTTGCTCACACGCTTTCTGGGTCACAGGCTCGTGTGGGTTACCTAACAAAGGAGGGTGGCCATGAAAAATTTGGCAATAGTAAAAGGTTTCTGAAAGTACAACAAAATCAAACATAATAAACCTAAGGTGTTTCTAACAGTGCTTATCCATTTTGCAACTCAAAACTTGTGGGGTGAGAGCCTTTAATCCCAGCACTCTGAAGGAGGAATTCTGTGAGTTCAAGGCCAGCCTGGTCTACAATAGCAAGTTCCAGGACAGGCAGGACTAACTACATAGACCTTGTCTCAAAAAACAAACAAAACAAAATACCTCATGGCAGCTGTAGCTGGGAACATACAGTGTACACATTTGAACTATACACACCATCAGTCTATGCAATGCCAGTGAGCCTGCCTCAGAGTCTATTCCAAGACTATATGCTATGAACTGCAATGTTTTGTCTGTAAACAAAAAGTTTCCTCCTCTTATAGAAACACAGTGCTGGAAATCTAAAAAAAAAAAAAAAGTCGCTTGGGAGGCAGAGGCAGGTAGAACTCTGAGTTCAAGGCCAGCCTGGTCTACAGAGTGAGTTCCAGGTCAGTCTAAGCTATGAAGTAAGACCTCCTGTCTTTAAGAAAACCAAAAAAAAAAAAAAAAAAAAAAAAAAACCTTTCTCAGGCAAAAAACAGGAGGTTCAAGCAGAAAAGAAGTTTAAGAAGCCCTATTCACCAAGGCAGAGGTGGCAGGATGGAGAGTTTAATGTCATCCTCAGCTGCATGGGACACCATACCTCCAAACAACAAACAAATAGAAAAGAAGCCCGGTTCAAGAAAAACCCAAACCCTCAGAATCTGCCTCCTCCAGACATGGAAACAGCCAGCTTCTGACCTATTAATATAATTAATATTCCTTCGGCAAGCACTGTACCTGTTCAGTAATGACTTTATGCCAGTACCACACAATAAATAAAACTCTTCGCTATTTCAATATCAAACTACCCAGAATAAATGGATAGATTCGAAAGTCCAACCTGGAGGTGGGGCGGCAAGAAAACAACTAGGCCATTCAGGGAAGAGAGTAAGACCCTGGGGAAACCGCAAAACATCGAGCTTTGGTATTAGAGCCAGGGACAGAAGGAACATGGCTTGAAAATGGCCTTGGCTAGGAATATGGGTTTTGGAGTCCAGACCGACCCAACCGGAGTGAGTGGTGGCACTTCCTATCTAGAGAGAGGAGCAGAGGCCACGCATGTGCAAGAGGATCCGCAGGAGCGGTGCCAGGTTGGACCTGGGCAGGGCCCTGCAGCCATCTCCAATTTCTGCTCTTTCTGCACCTTCTATTGTCCACGTAGGTCCTGTGGTGCCTCGAAGGCATAAAGTTATGTATTTGAGATTTTATACCAATTAAAAACCTAATGTTGAAGCTGGACCTAATCCCAGAACTCGGGAGGCAGAGGTAGGTGAATCTCTGTGAGTTCAAAGCCAGTCTGGGACCTCATCTGAAAACAAAACAAAAATCTCGAGCTTTAAGTAGGGAAGACCCCCTCAAAGCCACTCTGGTGCTGCCTTAGAAACCTCTAACCTCCAGCTTCCTTTCCTTTCCTTTTTTTGTTTTTGTTGAGACAAGGGTTTTTCTGTGTAGCCTTGGCTATCCTGGAACTCACTATGTAGACCAGGCTGGACTCGAATTCAGAGATCAGTCGGCCTTTGCCTCCTGAGCGCTGGGCTTAAAGGTGTGAGCCACCCCTGCCCAGCTTGGCTGGCTTTCTTTCAAGCTCCCCTACACCAGTAGGAAATGGGAGCGTCCCTTCCCGGTGCCTACGAGTCACCCCCTCCGGGGATCCAAGAATGAGCCCGTCCACTCCCTCTCCCACGTGAATGGGTTACACACACCCCCCGTAGGTGGTCTGTTCCGGAGTTTTCTGGCCCTGCAGCAAATGATTGCCTCCCCCGAGGAAGTGCGCTAGGTTGTCCCTGCTCCTTGTCGGCTTTTCAGGTACGCTACCCCTCCCCGACAACTCCGGGTTGTCTCTCCCCCTCTCCACCCCTCCACCCCCCGCCACGCGTGCTTTGTGGTCTCGCCTGCCCCTCCCCCCTGCGCTGGGCCGCTGTGGTCGCGAGGGGTCCCAGCGGGAAGCGACAGCCCATTGCGCGGCCTCCGTCGGGGGAGGGGAGGGGAGGGGAGGGGAGCGGAGCGAGGGTTCCTTCCTATGTGACGGTTTCCATTCTGCGAGAGGAGGCGGCGTCCGGGCTTGGCCTTCGCCCTGCGCGCGAGTGAGCGCGGCGGGACGGTCCATTGTGTTGGCCCGGGAGGTAGGGGTGGGCGTGGCGGATCCACGTCCTCGCGGAGCATTCCCGGGCGGACTCCACTCTCCTCCGCAGGGGCTGCGGTGTTGAGGATGAGCGGGGAAGAGAACCCGGCCAGCAAGCCCACGCCTGTGCAGGACGTGCAGGGCGACGGGCGCTGGATGTCTCTGGTGAGTGACCCCACGCGGTCCTCAGGGTTAGGGACGTAGGGGCGGGTGCTTCTAGAGAACCCCAGCTTCGTGGCGTCCTCGTCTTCACCTGGGTGGGAAGCCTGTTTCGATTGTCCAGCGTGAGGAAGCAGGGTGGGGCGGGGCCTGGAGCATGCGTGCCATGGACTCTTTCCTGGTTTCCCTGCAGCACCATCGATTTGTGGCCGACAGCAAAGACAAGGAACCAGAAGTTGTCTTCATCGGGGACTCCTTGGTCCAGCTAATGCACCAGTGTGAGGTGAGGGTCCGCCCCTTTCCTCCTTCCTCATCCAGGCATATACCCTCACTAGCACTTTGGGCCCAGAACCCAAGCCAGACAAAGTAAGGGGGTACAGAAATGCCCATGGTAGAAGGAATCTAAGAATCGCATGTCAATGCAATAGTCTGCTAGGAATATAGTGTGCGCCCTGAGTTTGTCAGGCTGGGTTTGTCTAGCTCAAGACTTAAATTGAGGCTTTCCTTCGAGATGGCCGAAGATGAGGCTCTTTCCTGTTTGCTTGAAATAGAGCACAGCCCCTATTGGATTTACACAAAGTTGTAATAGCTTTACAGAAAGTGAAGGTCGATTGTAATAGTAGTCTGCAAAGACTGCCAGTCACAAAATCTTTCCCTAAGACAGGTTTAGCCACAGTGGCTCTTTTCACAGTGAGATTCAGTTGTATTGCTGTTAGCTCCCTGTATGGTTCAAGCAGACAGGATTTTTATAAAATGAGTGTACCTTCGGTGGGATTTTGGTTAAAGCAAGACACTAGTAGGTTCTGTGAAATGAAGTTTTCCCTACTGGAGTTTGTTCAAGGTAAGATTTAACCAGACTTCGTTCATAAAGTAAGGCTTATCCATAGTGGCATTTAGTTATCACCTTGACATTGGTTGTTGGCCAGTGCCTACATCATTCTTTGCCCACAGATCTGGCGGGAGCTCTTCTCTCCTCTGCACGCACTTAACTTTGGCATTGGTGGGGACAGCACACAGCATGTACTCTGGCGGCTGGAGAATGGGGAGCTGGAACACATCCGACCCAAGGTGAGCAAGGCTTGGATGGCGAGTTAACACTCCCTTTGCCTGCCTCCTTACTGTTGCTTTGTGTCACTCTTTCCACAGATCGTGGTGGTCTGGGTGGGCACCAACAACCACAGCCACACAGCAGAGCAGGTGACGGGTGGCATCAGAGCCATTGTACAACTTGTGAACAAGCTGCAGCCCCAGGCACGGGTGGTTGTCCTGGTGAGAGCTTGGAAGGGTGGGAAAGGAAATGTGGCAGCCAGTCATAGTGGCAAATACCTGTAATTGTGGCACTCTAGGGCCTGAGGCAGGAGGATCATTGAGATTGAGGTTATTCTGGGCAACACAGCAAGACCTTGTCTTTAAAAAAAAAAAAAAAAAGTGTGGTTATGATGTGGGACACACCCCCACCCCCAAGAAGTACTAGCTATGCTTAGCACGCTTCTGGACAACTTGGCACAATGGCTGTCTGTCTGGTAGGAGATTTCCATACTCTTTAAGAGTGGCTGTGAGCTGGGCAGCGGTGGCACATGACTTTAGTCCCAGCATTTGGAAGGCAGAGGCAGGCAGATCTCAGTGAGTTCGAGGCCAGCCTGGTCTACAGAGTGAGTTTGAGGCCAGTTACACAGAGAGAAATCCTGTCTCCAAAAAAAAAAAAGTAGCTGTGAGCTAGGTGTGATGGCTCACGCCTTAAATCCCAGTACTCCAGAGGCAGGGACATCTCTGAATTAGAGGCTAGCCTTGTCTACCAGTGAGGACAGTCAGGGCTACTACAGACCCTGTCTTCAAACAAAGAGTGGCTGTGATTGAGGATATGTTCAGGGACCAGTTAGCCTGTTGCCCAAAGGAATGCTGAGTGTAGGGTAACTCAAAAAAGTTGTCGGTCATTCCTGGAATAAATTAAGCTTCATCACTTCTAGCTAAGACATTTCCACCTCTTAAAGAGGCCACTGACCCATTGGCATGATGTCTTTTATGAGTGATCTCTGGAAACAGGCTGCCACCTGGAAGGTTCTTACTGACTGGGAGCTGGGACATGGTATCCAGAACTATTCTTCTGCCCTCCTATTTTCACATCCCTAAACATTTTATAGCTGAGAATTTCCTAGTGGGGGGTGGACAGTTCAGTTTGGTCCAGGAATGCTGATCTGACAACTTACTATTGGTGTGCCTCCTCAGGGCCTGCTTCCAAGGGGCCAGCACCCCAACCCACTTCGGGAGAAAAACCGACAGGTAAACGAGCTGGTACGGGCAGCATTAGCTGGCCACCCCCGAGCCCACTTCTTAGATGCAGACCCTGGCTTTGTGCATTCTGACGGCACCATAAGCCACCATGACATGTATGATTACCTACATCTGAGCCGCTTGGGGTACACACCTGTTTGCCGGGCCCTGCACTCCTTGCTTCTTCGTCTCCTGGCTCAAGACCAGGGCCAAGGTGTCCCTCTGCCAGAGACCACACCCTGAGCGTCTCTCCTTCCCATGACATTAAATTCTCCTTCTGCTTGTTTCTTGCTTTATGGCTAGGCTTGTCTGGGTACCACCATCAGCCAGATCCTTGACCCCATAGTTAGGCGGGGTGTTTCTATTTGTAACTGAGGTAGAGATCACTAGTCCATCAAAGCATTCTGGTTCTTGGCAGTCAGTTGAATTTCAGTAGTGTGCTTGGGGAAGTTCTGGGTGGAACTGGTTTGCTATCATTACTGTCAGGGTCAAGGTCAGAAAATCTCTGGATCAGTGTCCATCAAATCCCACCATCACCACCCCCAAGCTGTCCCTTCAGGGAGCTGTCCCAGCTGATACTAACTTCTGGTGGTCTGGCCCAAGTTCAGATGCCATTTTAGACCTTCTACACCCTCCAGGATTTATACCTTTGCACAAGAAGGCTAAGTCTGTCTTAGGTGGACTCTTCTCCACTGGCAGCAGTGGTGACTGAGTCAGTCCCTGAGGATAGCCCATGGCCCCACACTCTGCCTCTTGCAGTGATTGAGTGAAGTAACTACCACCAAGTGGTAAACTGCCTTCCTCACAGCTCAAGGTGTCAGCATAGGCACCGTTCCCAGACTGCTCAGGCTGCCTCACTCACAGAGGCAGAGATGTCAGCACAAAGTCCCTTGACCATAAAGGGGTATTGATGGCATAGTGGCAGTCTTGGAACTGCCCCATGATCACCTGGGAAAAGGAGTGTGAAAGTAATACTTGAGAAACAAGTCAGCAGCCATAGGTGTGTTAAACAGCTTTAATCTCGGTCATTGCGGCTTCTCGGCACAGTAAGAAATATTGCACATGATCAACATGTTTTGTTCTGGGAATGGGGACAATGGAAGGGGGAAATCACCTTCTTAGAAAGTACAACCCAAGTTGGGAGGGCAGAGGGTGGGGAAAATCCTCCCCATGCCTGTGGCAAAGTGCAGGAGCCCCCCCCACCCCACCCCAAACTAACCTGAGTCCAGCCCCTCTGGGGGAAAAGGGGGGATTGCATGAACTCCCCACTACTCCACAGGCCTCTCCCTGTGGCCCAAGGCTCATGCTACCCTCCAGCTCGCAGCCCTCACAGGAGCCGTTCTGCATAAAGTACAAGTGAAAAGCTCTGAAGGGAGCTCAGAGGAGGGAGTCTGTGCCCCTGCTGCCCCTCAGCTGCCCCCTCCCCCCAAGCACAGGGAGGGACTATATACAAGGGGAACAGGCCACATCCCACGCCAAACCGGAAAGGACAAAATGGCTCACTGGGGAGGAGGTAACTATCCCGCTGTCTGGCCCCCAATTCCTGCCATCTATATACGGTCCATATCCTGAGGGGGTTACTGTGGGTCCTGGGATCTTTTCAAGGGCGCCTCACCTGCCTGTGGCAGCTGTAGAGGGGCCAGAGGGAGGTGGGGAGGGTTGGGAAGCCCCCTCCCAGCCAGGCTGTCCAGGCCCAGGCTCTGGGGGTGGAGGCAGTGGCGGGGCAGCTTGGGCAGTGCCAGAGTCCGAGTCTGGAGAGGTGGGGTCAGGGCACCCAGCAGGGCTGGGAGTAGGGACAGGAGTAGCAGCCATGCCAGTAGGGGGTGGTCCAGAGAGAGGGGCCTCAGCCCCAGGGGGCTGCTCTGTGGGAGTGGCCGCCTGCATGATCTTCTGGCGAACCTCTCGGATCTTCAATTGCAGACACACCTTGGATGGGAAAATGTCTGCATAGC